AATGCAATAAAAAATAAACAAATACGGAGTAAATGAGAAGTATTTAACTTTATTTTTCAAGTGCATTAATATTGGAGGAAACTAAAATAAAAATGATTCACACAATTAACGAATCGTTTATTATTATTTGTTTTTGGGCAGTTTGGTATAAAGTTTCCAAAACAACTTGCATCTTCATGATTGGTTGAAATATGGGAGTAAGAAACCTTAGATTAGCTGCTATTGTGAAACAAAATGGTGGATAGTACTGTAATGTTCTTGAGTGAACTGTGACATTGGTGCTACTATAATAAAAAAAACATAGCTTTTAAATGAGACCTTTTATCCTCAAATGATGTACATGCTCCGAGATGTTCTCCAATCGTCTTTCCATTGCAAAGAGGCCGGAAAATTCGCAATTCCAATTCAATAAAGTTGTTTCTTCAATGATACAAAAGCTCATTTCAATCTTTCTTCAATAACTCAAAAGAGTTTTAGCATCATATCTCCTCTCTTTCAGATACTGCAATATATTTTTTTCCCTACATATTGCACTGCGGCCTCTGTACCATAACTATAGGCTATTAAATAGTCATTTTGGTAGATTCTACAAATCGTACTACGCTCAATAGATTGACAATTAACATATTTTTTGTTGTGTTAGTAAAAGGTACACTATACTTGTAGGGCCACACAATATTTTCTTTAGCACGACCCTGTTCATATGAAGCAGTATTTTGCTCTTACTTTCATCTGGTTCATCTGGGAATGGTTTAGATTGTTTATGTTCTTTTTTTGCCCAGTATTGTAAAATATATTATTATAATTATTATTAATACTATTATTGTAGGCCTTTATCGCCATAAGATATAGCTCAGAATACTGCCATGGACTAGTTCTAGTCTAATTGGAGGGAACTCAGGAGCAGTAGTGGATGCAGAATTTAATTTTTGGGGCACCTTGGTATTTTTTTTTTTTAACTATGGTTACTCTAGAAGTGAAAAAAAGAAACTATATAAAATAATGTTTAAGCAATCATTGAAAAAGTTTTAAAAAAATAATAATAAAAATAAACTGTTTATGGGAACAATAACGCTTTTCGAGATAATTTTTTTTATATTTTTTGCTTGACATGCTCTTACATTTAGTAGCTAAAATAAATGCGTTATAATTTAAAAAGATTATATATTTTGATTATTCAAGTATTCAACTCAGATCAATCACAGTAACAGATATGAAAAAAATTTTATATCCATTTTTGGGAAATGGAAATTGGGCTTTAAACCTGAAACTTCCTCCCTATGGATTTGCCGATGCACTAGAGTGCCTTTTCATGTTCATTTCCTGGAATATCGGAAAGTCCTATCCATTCCACTCTTATATATAGGAAAGTCGGATGTGATTTTAATAATTAACTTTTGAGCCTCGGGCGCCATTTCTGACTCTGTCTCATCTCTGTTATGGTGTTACATGGTGCAAGAGTTGTATTACAGTTCTCGATTAATCTTGAGCACGTAATAGTAATATTTAATGCATCTATCACTGCATGGTTGTCAGTGACTACTAGGACTGAAACACAGAGATTTTCTCAACGATATATAGATATTCCTTCTAGCGGTTTAACTTTTCTCCAGATGCCTGCTCCTGAACCTAAGGTGTGTGATATAATGTGGATCCAAATTTAGAATAATGCCATCGTAAGGATCCAAATTCATTTCTCTGTTGGTTCTGTAGCATATTATGTAGATAGCTCATGTCATTTTTTTTGTTACTAAGTTGAAAAGTTTTTTCTTTGTAAATTATTATGATTAAAACAAAAGTAAAATTAAAAAAACAAAACAATAACATGCAAATATAAACAGCAGTCCAATCAAATCATGCTTGTTTCTTTTATAATTAATATGCTAAAAAGGAATCATCAGCATAACTACTGCCTTCATTGTATATTCCTAATACAAAAATGGAGAACACATTCAAAGATTATTGACAAAAAAAAAAAAAAAGAATTATATTTATATTAAAAAATTTTACTGAGGGAGAAAGATAACTTAATAAGTAAAAATATCTCTGAAAAGATGAAACAAAAAAAAAAAAAAAAGAAACATTATAAGTAAAAAAAAAAAACTATATAGATATAAAGTAATAATAGTAAATCAATAGATTGTGATGTAAACATTATCAATAAAATTGCTACTGACACTTACAGAGAAAAAAACAAAAATTATTATAAAAAAGACCATTAATCACATTTTGTTAAATAAAATAACACTTAATTTCAAAATATCTCATTATATCACAAGATTTTATTTAAATAGAATTTATATTTTGTTAGACTTAAAAATTTAAACTTTGATAAATGACCACATACTATATCCCAATGCCAATGTTAATTTATTTTATCCTGGACCTTTAATGCTATAAACAAATTGTTAATATTTTTAATTATTTAATATTGATGCTTGAAACAGTGTCAAGTAGAAATGTCTTCTTGAATATAAAGGAATATCTAGAGATCAATAATTACAATAAAAAACAAAACAATAATCATAAATTAATTGATGCCTCTTCCTTCTCCCTCCCCTCCAAACCATTCTCAAGTCTGGTGATCCTACTCTCCAAAACCATGTTTTAATATCATACATCTAAAGCATAGCAAATAAAAATAGATAAATATAATCGTTAAGAAGATCTGAGGCAAACATTGAACGGAAGCTAACTGACATCTAATCAAACACACTTACGTATTAGTTAATACATGGAAAAATGTTTTTATAAATAAATATTCACTATTATGAGATTTGAATTTATATGGAAAACATTTTTTTCCTATTGTAAATAGGTGTGATACACATATGTGTATCTAAGTGTAAATTATAAAAAATATAACTCTTTAATGAGAGTGGATTCAGGAATGAGTCGAGACCCTGTCAGGCTCTTTCTCTTTAAATGATGGGGTGCTCAGTGATGAATTCTATTTTAATTTCTGTGGCCATTATATCAATTGTATTAAAGTTAGATTTTAAAAAAGTAAAAAAGTTTAGAATGATGCCCAAAATAAAAGGACTAAAGTGATAATTAGATGCTTTAAAAAGTATTCTTTCAAAGGGGTATGGAGAAATGTCAGCTAATGCCATCCTAAAGGTACAGGTAGGACCAAGAGGTACTCCTGAAAGAACCTGAACCGAACATAGAAAACTAGCTGAATAAAAGATCTATCTACTCCAATGTGCAGAAATGAAAGTGATGTTCTTTTCATATACAACGCACTTTACTTGGTAATTTACCCTATTCAGTAATCCGGATGGATTTACATCACTTCTATCTTAAATCCCAAGTTCCCTTTAACTTTTTTTTTTTTTTTTTTATAAAATCTGACCTGGCCTTTTGGGCAATACGGGCATTTGTAGTAGTAAGATATCTGCCACATCTTATAACTGCAAGTAAATATTTATATTTTTACAATGTTTAAAATGAAGTTTCTTTTCAAGCCTCCTTGTTCCAGTCGCCTTCTACAGACAATTTCGCTCCACTTCTTACAAGAATGAAATTGGCTCAGTCACTGCGGCTTTTCTGCCTTACACAAAATCTTGGGAATTTTTCTTCGGTGGCTGATTGAATGAAATCATTCTCAGTGAGAAATTAAAGAGATCGGTCTTCAGGATGCAGTACTTACGGCCTATGGTAGCAGGGTGGCCAAGCGGCCTAATCATGTGCAAAACACTCATTGCCTCGCAACTTGATAAACTGAAGTTTATATAATATAATAATTATGAGTTCGCTTTCCGGTGCTAGGGAAGCTTTTAACTGGCATTAATCTCCCGTCCTCTCCCCTGGCCTGGAAAAAAAGCCCATATAGCCTAATATGTGAGAAAGAGGTGGACAAAAAATAAAATAAAATTGCTCAGTACCTCGTCATTTTCACCCCAAGATTTATCAGCAGTCCTGCTGAGCACTGTTTCCCGAATGCATGATACACGTATCTTCCCACATAAGGAGATTAAACAGTATTCCTCCCACTAAGGCATGCGATGCCGTTTGTTGCGTTTTACCAACTTGCTGTTTTTGGCTCCGCAAGTTTCAAGTTGTGCAGAATTTATTTTGGGTCCTTTAAATGATATAAAAATCCCATTGACCTTGAAACCTGAGTGTCTATAACTGGTGCAATATACACTATCAGAATTTCTTAAGTATTTTAATAATAATAAACTAATTTACAGAAGAGAAAATGAAAATCAATAAGAGACTTAAAATATTGATTCACATTAACGTTGAAATTTTTTCTTAAAGTGTCCATTACCGGTACATTTACCTTACATAGATAATGTTAATAAAACATACATAATTATGCTAACAATTAGAACAGTGTTAATAGCAGGTGTCTGCGGTAGCAATTTTATTGTATTATAACATACATTATACCTTCCATAATTTGTTTAAAAGTAAAGTAAAATGTCAGTTACAAAAGGATAAGGTCACAGCACAACATTGGTACAGGGCAACACATAGAAACAAACATGGCAAGGTTATTTAAAAGGAAAATATCAAAGTTTTATTTAGGCAACGGCAGTGACCAATAACGAAGAATGCCTTAAAACTTATATAAAAAAAACAATACTATATTAAAAGCAGGTTTAACTTTCGACAATGAACAACCTTTTTTTTTTTACTTCATTATTGCTATTTCTTATTATTAATAAATAAAAAAAAAAGAAAGTAGAACTTGCATTATGTTCAATATTAAATTATTAATAAACATTATTAAATATCATTAATTCACCTCCCACAAAAAAATTGCAGAACATAGTACAAGTTATTAATTTCAATTTTTATGTCCATCGAACTGTTTCTAATTTTTTTTTTTTTATTAATAATCTTAGAAATACTGTGATTTTTTTTTTCATTTTAAATAAAAATTACTTTGTAAACATCTATCCATAATATAATTATTTAATTATCAAAACTATCAGCTATCTTCCTTCAGATTGAAAACATTTAAAAAAAAAAAATTAAAAGTAACATACCGAAGCATTTGGATTCATTTGTCTGTCTATTAATGAAGACTTTTGCCGATATTACAGTGCCGAACGGGTGAAACGTTGTAATTAGATCGGCATCTGTGAACTCTTGAGGGAGGTGATATATGAACAGGTTTGCTCCTTCTGGGCCTTCGATTTGTTTACCAGCGGGCCTGTACGACACTAGAACACCCATCATCATACCATGATTATAGGATACCCAACAAAAAACAAACAAGTGAATTGTTTTTTTTTGTACCCTTGGTATCCAGAATTTTTTTTATTTTTATTTTGGTGGACTACTTATAAAACAACTGTTTCTTTATGCCCTTCCCAGAAAAAAAATAAAATAAAATAAAAAAATAGTAATAAAAATAAAGGGAAAGCTGCATAGAATCTAATAAAATGGAGGTAATAGTTCCCTTACACTACTCCAAGACGGCGGTTAGTTTCAAGATCACCCAGAGCACGGTATGCACAGATTCCCGATGAATGCCAAAAATATTAACGACAGTCCTATTTGCATCTGAAATAGCTGCCTCGACTTTTATAGTTGTTTAGGCTAGATAATGTTATGTTACAACCTTTCTAATAAGGAAATATGTAAAATCATTAAATACATAATATGTAATAATAAAATAAGCATATTAAAATTAAATTGAAATTTCCGCTTCACACTGATAGATACGGAGAAAATTGGAGTGATGAAAATACACATAAAAATAAAATATTGATAAAAAAACTTAAACTAGTGAAAACTATTTTTTTTTTTTAAAGCCAGCATTCCGACCAAACTATGCAGGCTTTCATCAGGGGTATGATCGGGATGGAGTTCAGCACAAACCTGATGGTGTTTCACACTCCACCCCGATCATACTCCCCTGATGAAGACCTGCATAGTTTGGTCGAAATGTTGGCTTAAAAAAAAAATAGTTTTCACTAGTTTAAGTTTTTTTTATAGTGAACCATATCTTTCCTCAATATTATACTATAGTCAACCATTGAGTACTCAAAAATAAAATTCGTATATAATAAATATGGATAGTAAAATAATATAATGCAAATAAAACTTTGATCTCTGCGAAAATTCAAAAGTTCGTAATCATTGTTATTCCTAGTTAATAATCTGATTATCAGAACGGAATCCCCTATATTATATTTATTTCAATATTTTAACAAACATTATAGACTATAACAATTGAACAAAAATTTTCCTTTTAAAATTGTGGATAATTTATAATCAAGAGTTGTGGATCGGTGGGCTCTCTCTTCTTTCGGACACATTCCTGGTTTTTTGGGAATCTAGGTACAGAGTGCTCTGAGTGATCTTGACCTACTACCGTCTTGGAGTAGCGAAAGGGAATTAATACCCAAATGGGAGAATGATAATATTTAAGGCATTCAGAAATTTAAAAAAAAAAAAGAAAATGATTAAAATATATTGGAATCGAAAAGGAATTAATGAAAGGATAAACAACGCCACAAGGATAGACAGGTTTTGTCAACGTCAATATGTTTTAAGTAGTGTTGACATTCAAATAGTCATTTCTCTATTGTCACAAAATTTAATTAATATTACAGAAAAATGCATTTAAATAAAAAAAAAATAAAAAAAATTACTTACTCAAATGCTCTAATAATTTCAACTCAATTTCATAAGAAAATTATTTTAACTACATATACTGATTCCAAATTAAGATACTGTACTCTGAAAAAGCCATTACTACAGTTGGCAAAAGTTGTAGTTATGTCAAAAATTAAATTGCAATTAAAGAAAAGCAAAACAATACAAAGGCCATGCGTATCAAGTAAATTTGGGATAAATTTGTTACTTTAAAAAAAAATTATAATAATAAAATATTCAACACTTCAAAGTGTCAAGCTCGAAAATTAAACTAATTCAGGCACCAAGAGTACAACAGAGAAAAACATTATTATTATTATTATTCTAATAAGAAAAAATCATAAATACTTTTTAAAGTTTTGGTTCATAAAAAACAATCTTCACATAACCATGGGTGGTGTTTAGGTTAAGATGAATTTTAATAATAAAAGCTTAAAGCAATTTTTTTATATAATAATAGAATTACTCAAGCAATCTACTCTTTGCATTTGGAATATCCTCATGCTTGAATTTTATGCAATCTGTTAAGAAGCATTCTTTGTGCTTTTCACCATAAACTTTATTATAACATGCTTTTATAAATATTTTTTGTTGTTGTTTATTAATGAAACCTTAACCTTTCAATATTACATGAAGAGGATATTATATTTAGCAGGAATCTGCAGAAACATAGTAAATTATGGCTATATGAAATGAAATAAGAACAAGAAATAAACAGAAAAAAAAAACGGAACAATGTGAAATAATAATAGGTAGTCCTCAAATAGATCCATTTTAAATGAAGAAACTATAGTTTTTGATATTTATTACAATCAACATCCATTGGCAAATCTTTCATGCAATTAAATATACTTGAATTTAAAAATTTAATACATAATAACAATCATTGAGAGAATAAAATCCTACCAGCAGTATCATGAGCTGATAGATTGATCACATGAAATATATTAACCAATATGATCAGATTTTAAAATTTTGGGGAAATAGTTTATTTTCTATTATTAATCTGTAGCAATTATTTATAAAGCCAGTGCTGGTCTTAGATATTAGGCGCCCCCGGGCAATGACATCATCTCTCCCCCTAAAAAATTAATTAATTTCTTAAATTTTTTTATATTATGTAACATTTAAATTTTATTTCATTCAACATTTAGCTAATACAGTTGCTTTATCGGTAGACTAAAATTAATTATTTTAATACTTTTTGTATTTTTCTTAATTTCTAACAAAGTGCCTTTGAAGATCAGCTAGTACCATCCGAGCTCTGTATATAACTATTGAATATAAATCGAAAATTTATCGATCATTACTGATTATACAATGCTCAAAGTTCTGCCTCAAATGTTTCTGACCCTCTACCCCCATTGATAAGGATATATCCTTCAGTAAGCGGAAATTCAAACAATGTTTAATTTAGAAACCATATTATATTTGAAAGTTAACACATAATAAGAATAACATACAATCATTATTTATGCGAACGTTATTTAATAAAAATGATTTTTCTGTTAATTACGGCATGATGATTGACTGTTGTGAATAATTGAAGAGAAGAGTGGTTGGGATGATCAGGCTCTTATACGTAGTCAGTATGTTTTGATAGATTTTACAACGACTCAATTTTCTATTTATATCTATTATTTCCTTATATAACTTCATATTCATTTTCCCTGTTTTACATTTTATTCTATGATTATCTCACTCCCTTTTAGCATACTATTACATGATATTTTAGTAACTATGTCACCCCATTTATTTTTTCGTCTACAATTACGCTTCTTATCTTATATATTCCACTAGTATTTGTTGTTAATTCATTTTTCATTTCTTGTGTTACCTTGTTTTGATTATGTTTATTTCATTAGTCCCTATTTTGTTGCCATTGTTATTTATTTCTTAGTTCTCTATTACTGTTATTATTCTACCTACTTTATTTTACTTTGATGTTCAATTCATCAACTTTATTTTACTTTATGTTTATTCTATCTACATTTTTTGGTCTATACCTTTCACCTTTGTAATTTTAATTATTTATTATTCAATGTATAAACAGTTTCTCATGCCTATTTTTATTATTTTTTTTTTTTTATAATACTGATGAAGGCCGCAACTTTGGGGCGAAATGTCAGAAAATATACAAATAAATATAATTATTTATTTTTACTATTTTTTTTTTTTTTTTACTGATCACCCCAACCATTCTTCTCTTCGATTTTTTTATTTTATTTAAGTATTTTATTTTTATTCAGATTTATAAATACAAAAATGTTGTTCTGCCAAGTATATGATTTTTATATACATTTTTGTAACTGAAAATTTTTAATGATTTTGATTTTGTGAAACCCGCATTGCCATATTTTCTCCTTTTTGTTTAGAATATGAAATAGTAGAACTGTACGAACATTTAATTCAAATTTATAATTTAAATAAGATAGAAATAGATTTTAAAATCATTGAAATTTTATTATTATTTTCTTTTTAAAACATTAGTTAGTAGTGTATGTATTTGCTTCAAATGAGTTTCTGTCAAAACACTGTAATGTGTCATGAATAACAATAATTTTCTAAGACTCCATATCAAAATTAACAACAGAACAACATTTTTGGATTCAAAAATGTTTGTTATTTTTTCAGGATACTTAATTCAGACCCAAAGCAGCACACCAAGGTATTCAGTAATCGGGATGGATTCTACTATATTATCGATAATGATTGGCTAGTGTACGACATACCAACATAATCTCTTTGTATTTTTATTTTAATGATGAGAATTGTTTTTTTAGAATTTTCAATATGGGTATTGCTAATATTGAACAATAAAATAAACACATTTATCGTTTGTCAATAAAACCAAATATGTTGATATTCAAATGAAGTTTTATTATTCTTGAATGATAAACAACCAATTGATCTCAGCAGAGGTAATTTTATATTTAATTAAAAAAATCCCAACTTAAAATTGATGATAATGTTGAGAAGAGGTTATATTAGATATTAAAGGTTATATTAGAGCCATGAAGATTAGGAAAATATCACTAGCTACCAGAAACCCATTCTGATAATTGAGTATTGGGATTTAGTGAAATTGGTTTGTAGTGGATCAGAATTAAGAATTCTGAATGATCTATAAACAATTTATATCAATTTATTAGTTCATACTCTTTATTTTTCTTTATTATTTTTTATTTCTTATCCATAATATTACAAAAAGTCAAATATAAGAAAATAAACATTGTAATTTATTCTTTTTATTTCTATTTGTATGATTCGATGATACTTTGTCTCTTTTCACTCCAGTATCAGGAGAGTCTAGTAATGAGTTAGTCCAATGATTTATTTCTTAGACTCATCTGTTAAGGGAACACAGCAAACTTCCAATTTCAATTTAATTTAAATTAAATGAAGAGTCAAACAACACAGCTGTATCTCGAGCAATATTGACGATATATCTCAGATGTGAGGCAAATTCCGCCATTACTGAAGTTTTGATGCTCTCCCATTTAAAACTCACTAGTTTGGCCAGTAAGAAAATTAAGAATTCTCTTAATTTCATAAACATGGAATAATAAACTATAGCGGCCAGCAAGGGACCAGGAAAGGAAAATCACAAGTAACCCAATCCACCTAAATTGTACACATTGTATAAAATCTAAAATTAATTAAAATAAAGCAATCAATTTTATATTACCATTTATTTAGTCTACTAACAACTTTGATTTTACAGTCCTAGCAATAAATTATGTACCAGCTGTTAAAGCATAATTATTATGTCAATAACCCAGACAGCCGTGGAAGGAATTGGCATATTAGATATGAAAGAGGAGGAGAAAAAGTATCCTAAAAACATTCAAGTAGAAATAAAAACACAATAAATTACAATTGTTTGTTATCTTAGCTTTGACCATTAGGCAAAATTTTTAAGAAGAATGAAAGGTGGATCGATTATTTGACTTTCATTATATTTAACTCTTTTAGAGGTTTAAGTTTCTTGACCAATTTCTGGAATGAACTCACTTTGGTCGAGAATCTTAACCATGTAAAAGGATTTTGTTAGGATTAAGGACCAAATTCATCCAACATATGTTGCAAATTTTTTACCAAACTTTGCAGTGTTGCCTACCATTATATTATAGTCAAAGTGACTAGGCTTTTTGTAATATTTTTTTTTATAATAAAAATATAGATGTTTTAAAATTGACCAAGACAAAGTTTTAAAATTGGTTGAAATGACTTTTTTTTTTTACTGTTGAGGTTTACTTTTTTTACTTCCCATTATTATTGGTACATCCTAAATATGGAGTTGAATTGAAGAAAATAATAATTCATTCTTAAATTTTTCCACATGATATTGTAAAGTAAAATTACTATTTTGGCAAACCTAGAGGAAAATATATGTTAACCTAAAATCTCGATTTTTTTCGAGAAACTTAATGGTGTAAAAGGGTCTATAAAGTCTGTGGTGATCCCTCCTGGTAGTTGAAAATCAAACTACTTAACTAAAATTTTTTGCTATGATATAATTGGAAAAATTCCAACCACACAGCTTCGCAATCGCTTACTCATGTGATCTTTGATTTGCTTTTCTTTTCTGTTGTGATGCTACCTGAATTGATGAAAAGTTGACATTTTTTAAATTTTTTGACTGTATTTTAGAGACATACAGCTGTGTGGTTGAAATTTTTTCAATTATAACCTAACATTGAATTTCTGTCTCACAGTGAATTTTTACTTATTTATATTTTAATACAATTTTTTATAACAAAGACTTGATTGATAAAAAATACCATGAAAAATAAAGCTGAATTTACTTTTAACTTGTTTTTATAAATTAATATAGTAAAAAGAGTTCTTTGAAGATTGATTGAACCAAACGAGGACTACCTTTTCTGCTCGTTTAAAGAAAAAGAAAAAAAAAATTAAATAAATGCCAAAGAGATTATGTGCAAGTGTTATCGAAGAAGTGATGGGGGGAATCGAAAATAAAATAAAATAAAAATAGATAGTAACCTGTGGCTTTTGGCATACAAGTAAACTGCTGATAGGCGTCAGAGAGGGAAAGTGCAGGAGCGTAACCATTCAGTGAGCTTAGAGCACTCAGGCTTGTAGGTCCACCTAATAAATAAAAAAGCAGGCAAAATGACTAACTAAACTAATTTAATTACTAACATACTAGAGCTAATTAATATAAATACTAATAAAAAAATGCCAATATTAATACTAATAAAAAATGCTAATAAATTAAGGTTATTATCCGAGAGATGTATAACTTCAATTTCTCAGTAATAAGCCAGAAAATAAAAGCCTTCTAACAGATAAAATTATAAACATTCTATAATATTTATTAAAATTAAACTAACTAAATGGCTGGCGAGTTAGTTGGCCTTCTAGTCAAAAAGAACACAAATAAAAATAAAATATGCCGAAACATCAGCACAAAATAAACGTCCCTTTATCAGGAATTAGGAAAAGACAAGATAATTATTAAAATCTATTGTAAAAGGATGAGGGGAAAAAAATTTAGTCTACTAATAAATAGATTATAATAAGTAAATAAAAATATATGAGTATTATAGTCGGTGATACAGAGCCCTTTTATCAAATTATTAATATCCACTTAAAACTTTGTGAATAGCTTAATTTCATCATAACTTACAACTTTTTATTGAAGAAAATTCTTGGAATTAGAGCATTTTCAATCTGAAAATTGGCAAACTTTGTATATTTAATTAGGCACTAAAAACTCTTATTTGCTTTCCACTTGGACTGTAAGATATTATAATCACGAATTTGAGAAAAAAGGTAACCATAAAAAATATTAGGCTATTTGGCCTATATAACCTCCTTATTTTGACATGTTTAGGGATGGAGGTCACACCAAACGTCCCAATATTTTTGTAGGCCACCTTTTTTTCTAGATTTTGTGATCAAATTATCATACAATTCAAATGGAGAGCAAATGGGTGTTCATGAGTTTTTACTACTTTATTAAAGTTGTAGGTTACGATGAGATATAGCTATTCACGAAGTTCTAGGAATTTATGATTTCGGATTTAATGAAAACAGGTCTGTACCATGGACTATAAGTTTATTATATGTAATAGTAAGGTTAAGACAATATAAGTAAGCTATAGTGAAAAATAATCTATTTTATTTCATTGCACTGCTGAAAGGTGAATTATTTTTAATTATAGCTTACTTATATTTTTTTACCTTACAATTACATATGAAACTCATATATTTTTGTTCATTTCTTATAATTTATTTATTAGTAGACTACATATTTTTGTTCTCATATACTTTTACAATAGTTTTTAGTAATTTTGGTTGTTATCTTTTCTCACTCTTGATGAAGGCCAACAACTTAGACCAAAACGTCAGCACAAAATAAAATAAAATAAAAATAAAAATATTTTATTTTTATTTGTGTTTCCTCAGACCGTGATTTCCAAACAACTTTCCAACCAGTCTACAATTAACAGTTTCTTCACCATAAAATAACTAAAGCATGATAGATATTTCTAAATCTAAATAACTTAATTAATAAAATAAACTATATAATTCGAAAAAAAAAAAACCTGAAATGTAACTATAAACATGCCTACATGTTATAAGAGAGCAAATAGATAATCCATGCTCGAAACGTGCAGCGATAATTAAAAAGATATTCAAGCAAAAAGGTTTTAACTCAGCTATTAATAATTTATTTATCCTACTTTATTATAACTAATAACTTTAAAAAAGGCATAAATTAAAAAAGCTTTAATTTAAATTTTAATTAAAAATTAAAACAGCATCTAAGAATAATGTGTAAATGATGTTAAGGTAATATTAAGGAATGATCAGTTGGAGAACGGTGGTGACCATGTTTTTATTTTACCAATATATTTACTAACATTGTATATCTTCATCTACAAAAATTTAAACTTTTAAGATGGCAGTGAATATGATAGTATTAATTATAGTACAATAGTCAAAGAAATATATAATAAGTAATAAACACATGATAATATAAATATATAAAATAATGCATTAATACTGTAATATATTTATTACTATCATAAGGATGACAGTTAGGATTTTTAGGCTAGATTTGTTTTATTCAGCTAGTCGACATTTCGACTCAAGCACATACTTATCCACAATAAATATGTGTATATGTATATATATGTATATGCTTATATATATATATATATATCCACTATACACCCACATATATGGGTTATTATCAGGACAATATTTTCTATCTAATCTAACATCAAGAAATGAGCGGAATATGGAGAGCTCTTATTTCTGGTGTGTTGGTTTAAATATTTAAATAATATAAAGTTAAATATTTTTGTTGACTTTTTTTAAAAAACATTTAGCAACGATGAGGGGGACAGGAGAAGCAACCTTGAGAATGGCATTAGCAGATAGTTCTCTGTGCTCTTGCGGCGGAATACTTTTCATCATAACTACTAATACTTCATCATAAATAATCTACTCATCACTTAAGCATTTTTATTTATTTTATTTTATTTAGGGTATCGTACCAATTTTTTTTTTTAATGTGATCTATGTATGATTGATAGAAAGGTCACAGGATAGTTTGAAAAAATAATTCATCAATGAACACCCAGTCATTTAAAGAGAAAGGGCTCAACTCATATACGAGTCCATCATCGTTAATTATCACTCTACTCCTAGGTTCTTGATGCATGGCTAGACAGGAATTATCATTCAGATGATGACCCACATTGCTTGGGTCAAAACGATCACAAGCTAAATAAAACAAAACAAGCTAAAAATCTTGAATATTTATAATCCTCATAATTTAATATAAATATATACATCTCTAATTACCATAATATTTATGTTGTAGTACTGATGAATGATTAACAATGAAGGTCAAAATTAATAATACAATTTAGTTTATTGTATTTACCTAGATTATATACTGGGTCTTGTATAATAAAATAATATAACAAAATATGTATTTTCTTTCTAAGGAGAGAGTAAAAAGTTCGAAAAAATATATTGGTAACGGAAATTTAGTAGTACTGTGGAGAAGAGAATTATTATCTAAAAAATAAAAGTTGTTTGAACATTTTGAAATTAAAATTAAAAGTATTTAAATTTTTATACGGTAAAATAATCATTTTGGAAGTTTTAGAAATTTGAAGCTCTTTTATTAGGAAGCTTTTGAATTAATTCATGCATATGAAGAGAAAAAAAGACAAATAGAAGTAATAATTTTCATTATGTCATTAAAAATTAATAAAAAATTACTTTGTTAATAAAAAGATATGTATTATAAAAAGTGAATCAGAAAGTTTTACAAAACTCACCGGAGGTAGATGCCTTTCCGAGCAATGCTAGAGACGAAATATAAAAAGATCATGAAATTCATTAGAAATAATTCTTATTTTTCACACAAGCATTAAAAATAATACTAATAATAATAAACTCAATTTTAAATGTTAATAATTAAATACTAATAATAACGAACATTATATTAAATTTTTACTAGTCAGGGGTTTAGTAAACCGTTTTATTTCATTATTTGGCGTCCAACTAGATGAAATTGAAATGAATATTATTGTATAATTTATATTTCATAAACTATATAGTATTAAATTGAATAGTTTAATATAATACTGTAAAAGCATAACTTTACTACCATTTATGTATTATCTATGAAGATTTTTTGCAATATCAACGTGAATATATTGAAGTATGTAAGTGAATATTGGCACAATTTCTCACTATAAAGTTTTTCAAATGTATGATTTTATTTACCAAGTGGATCTCTCTTCCAATTTGTTATTACCAAAAAGTTAAAGGGAATAATAATTCACTTTTTATTTACTATTATTATGTCCATTATTGCATAATAATAATGTCTAGTAAATATGTATTAAATAAGTTTTATTAATCTAGGATAAGGATTATTAAGCTATATTATAATCTAATTATTGAACTATTATCTAATATTCATAACTTTTTTTTAAAAATGATCTATCAAGTTACAACAAGAGACACATTCTAAATTCTATTCCTATGATATAATATCTATGTACGTCATACAAATATTTTCTTTCGATTAAATATAATTGGATCCAACCCTTCTTATTTTACCATAATTAACTTCCAAGCAAATATTTTTAACTTCATAAAAATATTTTTTTAATAATTTAATACTCTACTTAAATTCTCACTAATTACTTAATTTCTCCAAGTAAAATGCAGAATGTGGAAGTTGTAGTAACTTGATTTATTACAAAAAAAATTAATTGTCAATGATATTTTTTTTTTTTTTACTTTTGAATACAAAGATAAACTAAAATAGGTTCTTAATAAATCTTATATAATTTAGGTGTAAAGATATTATTTTCAAAAATTAAACTTAACTTTAATACACACAATTTCTTAAGCTCAAAATTTAAGAAAACATTGACAGACAATTTTTATTATAAAAAAAATTAAAACAAACCTGTAGTCGTACCTGCAAGGCTTGACAGTGCTGAAACAACAAGAAAAAAAATTATATAAATTTTTTGTATGGATAAATAAAGAATTTATTCATGTATACTGGTTAAATGAGATTATCTGTGTGGGATCTTGCCTGTGAGGTACAATACGACAACAGAGAATTTATAAAATTATTTATTCAAAGAAATGAATAGTATAATGCAATAAAAACTTGTCTGATAAATCAAATTATGTTTTAAATTTATTTATTTCCAATCATTCATTTATTGCCAAACTGTTAAATGAATTGTTAAAAATGTATTTTATTCTTAAATAAACTATAATATTTATTTTTGCCATTTTTACTTTTGACAGATCACCCTAACTATCCTTCTCTTCATTATTCACTACAGTCAACCATCAACCCACAATTAAGTATTTTATCCTTCTTTTCTTCCCTCCTTTACGCCTCTCAGCATGGATGTGAAACAAAAAAATATACATATTAGGGAGACCGGAAAGTAATGTCGTTTCTATACAAGTCACTATTTGGTTGCCATTTGTCAGCTCATTATGTACATCTAAGCTGTGGCAAAGACATTGTAAGTTTGAAATGACTTGTTTAGTAGTAAATAACTTGATTTAATTTTTTTTTTACAATTTTGGGTTAAATGGCTAGCTAAATAACAGAAGAGGTAAATATCCAGCAACACATCCTTTTTGAGTTTCCCAAGAGTAGTAATGCAACAGTTACTTCCAAAAACATTTGCGATGTTTATCCAAATGCACTAGACGTAAATGTCAAAGGTGATTTTTGAAGTTTAAATCTGGTAATTTTGATCTTTCCGATCAGGAAGACCAACAACCTTAGACGTGTTAAGGGTGGAAGTGAAACCAAATCCGCGTCAGGCAATTAAGGAATCGTCAGTCTTAACTAACTTTGGTCGACCATCCAAGAGCATTTGCAGCAGATTGGAAAACTGTCAAATGCAACATATTGCTTCAACGGCACAGTAAAGAAGCAGCGTTTTTTGATTGCTTGATCACCGGAGATGAAAAATGGGTCCTCTTTGATAAATCAAAACGCAAAATGCAGTGGATTTCTCCAAATGAACTGTTTGTTGGAGTATTTGCAGCATTAGGACAAACCGTGAATGTAGACCTTTATTGTGAAGAATTGATTCGTATAAAGCAATCTTTAATTGAGAAGTAGCCAGAGACTGTCAACACAAAATACTTTATTCTGCATCACGATGATGCAAGACCGCACTACACAAGATAAACCCTGGAAAAAATTAATGAATTGGGGTGGGAGGTACAGCTTCACTCATCCCACTCGCCCAATGTAGCACCATCATATTTTCATTTGTTCCGATCGCTTCAACACTTGCTAAGTGACAAAAGATTTGCAAATTTGGATGTTATACAATATACTATTTCTATATTTATATAGAAAACCAATTGATTTTTATTGATCCAGCATTGAAAATTTTCACACTAAATGGCAAAAGGTTATTGATAATGAGGGTGATTATATCGTTGATTAAAAATAAAAGCTGATTAAAAATGTATGTAGTTGAATTTGATGTAAGACAACGATATTACTTTCCAAGTCCCCCTAATATATCAGTGGGTTAAAATGTAAATGAAAAAAAAAAAAGAGGAAATAGAAAATGCTGTTTGTGATAATCAGCTCCATTGTTAATCAAATGGAAAACAGTACAACAATCAATGAATGATTGGAAATAAAAAAAAAAGAAAACATTTTTTTTTTTAAAGAATGACATCCAAGTGGATAGATTCAGATTAGAAATAGGTTTGTAGAATTTGCAGAATCCTGGTAACAATTATGAATTGTGAAGAATGATGCAATATTGGAGGTATATGTTTGTTGATGTTTAAATGAATATGGTGTAATGCGGCGAAAGCTTCATTAAACGATAAAATAAAATGAGACTGAATTAAAAGGGTATTTTTCTATATTTCAAGAACTAAGTTAAAAATTAATAAAAATAAAATAAATTAATCTTGTTTCATAAAGGTGTAAAAGTAGTTTGAAAATTTGTATTGAAACAATAAATTGAGCTGTTAAGTTAGCTAATTTATTTCTACTTGATCATGACTTCTCAAAAAAGCAAAATTCATTAAGTCGGCAGAACTCAAGAGGATATTCCGATTGTGTTTAATGAAGAGGAGATCTATCTATCTGGGTACAGTATTCAATAGGTCAGGAAAAGTAGATTGGGAAGTCTCAAGCAGGATATCAAAAGCAAATTCCGTCTACTATATGATATGCAATACCGTAATCGGAAAAAGGGAAGTGGGGCAGGATGTGAAGCTCCATCTGTTCAAGTCTGTTTTCCTACCCGTACTTTTTTATTAAGCAAAGCTTTGGATCCTGAAGTGTTGCTGCCACTGAGATGAAGTTTCTTAGAAGAATTTTGGGGAAAACGTGGAGAGACTGTGTCCGAAATGGCAGGATCAGGGAGGAGGTAAAGATACCCCTCCCCCTGGGCTGGAAACTCTGGAGAGGAGATAGCTGAAGTGGTATGGGCATGTCTGCTGGATGGACCATCACAGAGACCCAGTTAAACCCTAGAAGTGAGGGCGATGGGAAGAAGACCAAGAGTGCGACCAAGAACCTCAGACGCTAGTAATTTTAAACGAATTCGAAGACGAAAAGGGAAGACCCTGGAAGAAATGAGGAACCTTGCCAGGAACAGGGATGCATGGAACCGATGGCTGGCAGCACCTCCACGTTGAGTGACAAATGGGTGCAAGAGAAAGAAGAACATTGGATTTTTACAAGGAGAATCTTTCGAGAAGAGACTGGGTATTCACGAAATTGCATTTTTTTTTTGTATGCTCCAAAATCAAACGATAACAAACATTTGAATCATCAGGACATTCTATGTACAGTATAATTTAGCACGAAATAGCACATTTTGGTGTTACTAAATGAATTTGCAATCCTTGAGAAATTTCTGCATGAAACTGTATCAGTGATTTATGAAACAAAATCTAATGAATAATAATATCATCACAAAATGAAAGATTAATATCCAGTTAAATGATTTATCATACATCCTCAATTATTCCTATCTCGCCCACTAGTTCCAGATTGACCTGTTATTTTCTATAATGTTTTGCCAAAAGTTTAGAATGAGACAAATTGTTACTTTGTATTAATGACTAATGGAAGCTCAATAAAATAAAATTATAATATAGTATACAACCATGTAATATACCCGAGTATATAATGGAGAAAACACTAAAGTGGATGTTGCATCAAAATATTTTACGCTCATATAATCAATATCTAATTGCCTGATGAAAGATATTATAAATGTACATAATAAAAAGCTTTAAAAATAAGCCACTGAGATGAGGTTTCTTAGAAGAATTGTGCGGAAAACGCGGATTGTGTCAGAAATGACAGAATCAGGGAAGATCTATAGACCCCGTGCTGGAAACTCTGGAGAGGAGACAGCTGAAGTGGTATGGGCATTTTAGGAATTAAGTATAACAGCTTAAGGCTACTTGGACACACTGAAAAAAGGTTTTTAATCACATCTAGGTCTCTATTTCTGAAAGTATAGAGACGATTAATTTAAAATACGAACAATGGATATCACTATTGTTAAGTCCTGAGGCACTATACCGTATTTCCGCTACTTTTACTTCTTTTTTTCAGTTCGGGTACAATCAGTCCCAAGTTATAGTACTTTTAATGTTTTGCTTTACTAACTCAGTTGATGATACTAAAATAAAGGTAGTTCTAAGAGAAGGAAATTTTACAACAAAGTTTTGACCAAATATTTTCAATACAGTTCCCATAAGTGTAATTTTACCTTGATTATTATAATTTTATATGAATCTCCATAAATCGTAAACAAATTAAGACATATAAATAAACTTAATTTAAATTAGTTGAAGCACCTTTACAACAATTTTGGCATGCATTAAGAATAACTATCGTCACAATATTAAATAAAAAAAATAATAATGGCAGTAAAGAGGAAGGGGCAAATTTCTAAGGACAACAAATATCATTAATTTTTTTATTTATCTTCTTAAATAAATATGAAAATTGATTTTTAAAAAATAACAAATAACTAACAGCTAAGTTTGCGAGATGCCTACAAGTTACAACAAGTAATTAATGTGTACCAGAGAACTAAACTATTTTGATCACAGAGCAAAAGCCTAAATTTGAAGTACATTAAATTAAAAATCACAAAGGGTGCAAAAAGAAAAATTATAGGTTACAAAAAAACTATAAAGCATTTGAGTGCCAAAAATATAAATCAGCCAGATGAATAATAATATTTTTTTCAAAAATATTCAGTTTTTTAAATTATTTTGAAAGGATGTATAAAGAGTTTATTTTTAAATTATATCAAAAATGTTTTTAAATTATTATTGAATGACTTAGAGCTCGCGGGCACCACTGTGCCCGCGTGATGTCGCTTGTGCTTGCCTATCTCTAACCTTTATTGGCGATCACCCTGGCAACAATTTTACTGTTCTCTGCAGCATATTGACAAATTTTTAATAAAATATTGAGTATTTATTTCAATAAATATCCCATAATTAATTGAACATAATTATATACATATTTATAACCAATGCTGCTATTAATTCTAATCAAAAAATGTGTTAATCTATTATAAAAACCCTTTATACACTTATCATGGCTGATAAATATTCAGGACGCAGTAATTATAAGGTTTTTATTAGTGCCGACGTTTCAACCCAAACATGTGGGTCATGGTCATCATCAAGGTGTGGTTCGAGCACTGAAGATATTCATTGCTCGAACCACGCCCTGATGATGACCCACATGTTTGGGTTGAAACGTCGGCACTAATAAAAACCTTATAATGACTGCGTTCTGAATATTTATCACCCATTACATGTATGACAGTCAACTAACTTCCTTCAATAATTCTTTATAAACTTAGTGACATTCGTTAAACTTGTTTTTGTTTTTTTGCCTTTTGTGTAGAAATATGTTTCATTAGTTTAAGAAATAATAAAAATTTTTGTTACTGTACATTTTATTCCTGATTCATCAGGATTCTATAAAAGAAAATATGGCTGATTTTTATTTTAAAACACATCAATTTCCCATGCATTAAACAACAAAAAAAAACCTGCTATTTTCGAGAACACAAAAGTAGAAGAAAAATAAAATCTAATAAGAAACACTACAACCGTTACTTTTTTGAACAATGGAAATAGAAAAACAAACCTGGACTACTCAGGCTAGACGAACTGGACCCTACAAAAAATAAATAACATAAAATATTCATTTTATCAATTGCTATTTTATTCTAAATGTAATTGACGATAACACTTATCAATAATGATAAGCCACTTATAAATGCCATTCTACGATGACAGCAGCTTACAATAATAATAATAAGATCTATGTTAATATTTTAATGATAAATATATAATTATTGGTATATTTAATAACTAACCATTAGGAGAAACAGCCCCTGCACCAGTCATCGCGGCCAATGTTACTAAATTCTGCATCGTCATAGGTGTACCTATTAAAAAATAAAAAATAAAAAAAATTTTAGTAATTACTTCACACATTTAAACTTTTATTTAATTATTTGTTTTTAAGTAATAATAATACTTTACAGTGTTTAAAGAATTGTAAATGAATTTTTAAAACATTAAATTTAATAATATAAATGATTTTATAAACCAAAAGTAACAAGTATTAAAAAAATCTAGGTAGCATTAAATCGAGAAGATTCTACAACATTCAAAGAAAACATCGAAGCTTCTAAGCTTGTCCTGGCATGGATCAAGACTAATTACAGAAAGAGGTTTCGTAGACAAGGTAGGTCGAAGTGAATTCGTCATTGAATGAGTTCCTGCAGTGCAGAATTAGATTTGGTTCAGTACATGGAGTAGTTAACTCATTGATATAAAAAATTATTTAGTAAGGAAGTTATTGCAAACATTTTTCAGTGTAAATGTAACATTATTAGTAAATATTTTTTTAACATATATTGTGAAGTGACTAGGAACATTATATTCGACAAATTTTGATAACAATTGTAATTTAAAACAATTAAAAATTGTAAACTATTAATAACAATAAGTAATAAGTAAGACTTTGAATACATAATTTTCTATGCTATCTGGAATGGGACTAGAATGAAGAAAAATATAAGATTAAATTTGGCAACAAGTGGTTTAGTTGACTCAAAACTCAGTAAGATAAAATTGCAGCAAGAAAAAAAGAATACCCAATAATTATTTAAGCATTAATAATATGATGACCAAGTAATCATAGCCCAGGATAGAGAGGAGATTAATTATATGTTCAGAAAGGTTGTCGAGAGTTATGAAAAGTGAGGGTCAACTATTAACTTCATGAAAACAGAGCACCTTGACATGCCAATTGAAAGAGCTATAAACTCTGTAGGGAAATTTAAATACCTAATAGCAATATTTAATAGAGAAGGCACATCCACCAATGATATCGATAGGAGAATTGATGAAGGAAGAGAGGTCGCAGCACTACTCAACATTATCCTTTGGAGCTCGAATATACAGCCCAGTTCAAAGAGGCTAATATACAAGGCTATATTCCAGCCAATTACGACATATGCCTCGGAGACTTGGATCATCAAGGAGAGACCCCGAAAAATACTGTTAGCAGTAGGGATGGACTTTTGGAGAAGAGCAGCAAGAAAATCCAGAAGGGAAAGGATCAAGAAAGAATTCTGGAAATGATGGAGATAGAAAAAAACATTTTAGTAAATATTGAAAAGAAAAGGTTATACTGGTTTGGACATGTGAAAAGAATGATGCCTGAAAGATTGCCAAAGATGTGTCTTGTAAATAACCTACAGAAAGTTAAATATTAAATGATTAGTTTTGACGGGAATAGGCGCATAGCCTTCCGCTTTTATGTCAGGACTTGAGGTTATTTACACTCGTGAATTATTAAAACAAAACCCCGGCACTGGATATAGACTTTTGAGGGTGTTTAACTGTGATTGGGAATTCGGGGATCTGTTACCTTTTGTGACACTGTGTGAGAAGAAACAATAAGAATATATATATGAAATGTGGGACTTAGTAAACACTTTGAATGAATTGACTCAAGTGGTTTATTCTTCAATTGTGAAGCCTATAGGACAACTAAATAAAAGGACTATTGTAGGACTCACACATTGTCATCTAAAGGAGTAAATACAGGGGGATGTCTACTACAGTATGGAGCTGGAAGTAGGAGGGAGAAGGAAAAAGGAGAGAACAAGGGTAATATGGAAAGACGCGGTGGAAGAAATCCAGGTCATGGCACCACAAAAGATCAATCCTTGGATAGAGAAGATAGGAAAAATATCTTAAAGAATATTTAGGTCAAGGAAAACCACAGAAGTCGAAAGCCCTTTAAAAAAAAATAATATGATAAAGATGGTCATAACAATTTTGAAAAAAAATTTTAATTGGGAAAAAAACCTCCAAAATGTTAACAAAATTGTTGTAAAAAAAGTTGCCAAAATTTAATTAAATAAGAATACTTTAAAATTCAAAAGTTATGAATAATAATATCATAATTATAAGAAGATCTAAACGAAAGTCACACTTACCATTCGCTACAGACATATTTGCTAAACCTTGAAGTGCAGCTAAACCTTGAAGGTTAGAAGAACTAATATCACTTAAATTAGGATTTGAGCCATTTAACGCAGCCAGTCCCTGTAAACCTGTAATCAAATTTCATAATAATATATATATATATATTAGGATGTAAACAGCCAATGTTATTTTTAGAACAAAAAAATGAAAATGTACTCTGCAATAAAGCAAATTACAGTAAATCTGTGCCTCCTGTTTCACCCATGTTAAATTTAAATTATTTAAAAGAAAAGTTGAGTAATTCAACATAAACAGTTGTAATGATGTAGCCGTTATTTGTGTTAAATCAGCACTAATTAATGCATGCATACATATCCTCTTTTTACCATAAAATGCCTTCGGGCAGTAATAGGAAACAGTAAAGATGGATATGTATGTATTTGTCACGTGTAATAAAATCACTGGAGGGAGAGAAAAGAAAGAAAATTTTTTTCCATCATTAATATACAGTATATACCTAGTTTATTTTCTTTATTTATTTATTTTTCTTTTGTGGCAACCTGATCTGGATAAGACAAAATAAAAATGACAAATTGTTTACGGTCAAAATATTTTTATCTTAAGACGTCTACGATATACTTTAAAATTTTTCCATATGCTTTATTTACAGTAACTGAATACAGTATTAGCAATAATAATAATTTTATAAACAATCCTATCAGAAATAATTGGCTTTGATTTTCTTTAAAATTATTTTATTAGCAAATTTATCATAAATAATTTTTACATATTTATTGATAACTATATATTTTTCCAAAAAATTTTACATAATTTCAGAAATGATATAAGGTTAATGAAATTTAAATTCCATGAAGACTCTTGTGGTTTTAATTAGTAGCCATAATAAGTTAAGAGACGGGTCAAATTTTAATTTGATGTCAAGTTTTCAATTGCCTTGAACAATTATGTTTTGGGATGGATTTGTTTTTGTTGCTACCCGAAAAATAAGTCTCTATGACTTATGGGGTTTCTTGAATCAATGATTCATCTAGTAATTATATTTATAATAATATATAGCTAGATCATAGGTTCTTAAATAAGAGCACATGTAACCATTACTAGTGGGCCATGAAACAATTTCGACATTATCTTAACATCCCCAACTTTTTTATTTTATTCAAGACATTTTGTATTTGTTATTACTCGACTAGTCATTAACATAAAATTCCTGAAGGTTGGGTGGGAAGGGGTCTGAGAAAAATCAAATCCTTCATGAGAGGATCTGCAGACTACATTAGTCAGAAAACCCCTGATCCCTAGTTTTCATACCTGCTGCCGAATTATGAAGAAGAAGTTGGGTTCCAATATTAGGTTGGACATTATTGGTTTGAAGATGTTGAAGTAACTGAAGAGGAGTCAAACAGGAACTACTGGGATCAGTCTATAATAAACAGAAAAATTAATTTTCACTTTTGGAGCAAAAACATTCAAATATTAATAACTATATTGAATATTTAATAGTTGACCGTTGCATTATAAAGGAAGGAGATGGTATGGGGTGGCAGTCATAAATAGGCTAAATAGTGGTAAAACTATTTAGCCTATTTATGACCGCCACCCCCATTAGCGACCATCTCCTTCCATTAATAACTATACATTTTCATAATATAAAAAATTGATTTATTTTAATATTTCTTTTTCTTCTGTATTAATTTTGGCAGCAAGATTCGATAGTACATCCATAAATGATAGTTTTTAAAGTTGTTTAAATAGATTATTTCAGTTCTATAGTCAATATTTGAATCTCCAAATCAGTAGATTTGTATAAATAGAATATTTGCAATGGAAGTATTTAAAACATTTTTCAATCAACTCTTTTATTTATAATATTATTGTATAGAATAATGAGTTGATTTGCTGCCTATTATTTATAATTGGTTTTATATATTTTTAAATAAGTTATTAAAGAAGAAGTTTATTTAATTAATAACATCATTCAAATACCAGGCATGTAAATATGAAACCGGAATTCATTCAAAGATGGCTCTAGTTGTTTATCTAGTTACTTTTACACCCAATTGTTGGCGCTATTTTGTTTATTCAACATTTGTAGACAGCATTAGTTAAAGAAAACTGCTTCAGAATTTCATCAAATGCTCATTGAAGCTTATTGCGAGCATGCTCTTGGTAGATCACAGTGCTTTAAGTCGTTAAAAGAATATTAAAGCCCATTTTGACAAGAAAAGTTGAGAAATGTGGGACTTAGTTGTGATCTATTATGAGCTGTTAAAACCCAGATTGATTTGAATTGGGTATTGTGTGAAATACCAGAATATCAAAAAATATAACAGTGATTTTATTTCATGATAATGAACCATCACACATATCAAAATTATTAAAGGAAATAATTGAGGTGCTCAGTTGAGAAATGTCAACGAATCAGCCTTACTCACCAAACATTGCTCCGTCCCACCATTTATTTGTACCAATGCGGCATGCACTTACATAGCAGCACTTTACTTCTTATGAAAATGGGTTGATTAGTTAAAGGTTTTTCTGGCTTGAGATTCATAAATTTCCTGAGAGATGGAGGAATGTATAGCTAACGATGGGCAATATTTCAAGTGTATTAAAATCTACTTTCCGTGGGAAAATTCTGGTTTCATATTTGCCTATCAGGTAATTCAATTTAGCTTACTATCTATCTATTTTAAAATATTGAAACCAATTAAATTAAAATAAAAACAAATTAATTCGAGTCTCTGATATCGACGCTCTCACCTGCTGTGGGATAGAAGTGAGGTAGGACTGAGGCGACAAACTGACTCCAGCCAAATTCCAGAGGTTTGCTTGCATTTGTTGCAATCTCTTCTGATCCTTTTCCTTTTGAGTATCGGCAAATTTAACCACCAAAGGCAGAGAGCATCCCTACAGGAAAATGTTTAAAATAAAAGAATAAAAATTAAACAGAGTTAAAAATTATGTTGATAATTAATTAAAATATTCACTATTTTAATTCAATTTAAAAAAAAGGAATGAATCTAACTATAATGGTGTAGACTAGTTGAAAAGGACACTGGTAGATTTAAGAAAATCAGATAATGAGAAGTCATTTAATTATTTATTCATAACAGGTTTGTTAATTTTTAAAATTGAAATGGTTTGTAAACATTTGCATCATTATATTATTTGATTTAAAAAAATAATAATAAATAGTCCAGTTACAATATCATAAATTAAAAAAAAACAGATCTGTAGTGCCATCTAGAGATTATACCTAATAAATTGTTTCCCCTTTTAGCAATAAGGTACAATAGTACAATAGTCAGCCATATCCCATCCTTTAAAACTCAGATCCTTTTTACAGGTGAAGTTATCATTTATTTTAATTAAATAATTTAATATATAAGAATATTAGATATAATACAATAGTAATGATATTAGAATAGATAATGTAGAAATATTACAACGTAGTAAACTCAGTGCTTATCATCTTACTTGATACAATCTACAGATTTATCTACTGATAAAACATATGCGGTCTATTTCCTAGACTATTGATGTAATCAGAACTAATATTTTGTGTATAAGTCTTTAAAACTCGAATTGTTCCTTCTCGATCAGGTGATTAGCGATTGCAAAAGTTTTGGAACCACCTACCTGAATTTTTAATACCTCTTATTAGGAGGTTAAGAATTGAAATATAGATTCGTTATTTCTTCCTTAAATTCCCAGAATTTCGGCATCTTGTTTGTTAAAAATCCACTGCTCCTGAGATCAGGAAAAGGGACCTAGGACTAAGTAATCAATAAACAAAACTAAAATAATTTAAGTTTAAATTATTTCGGAACACATATTTTTGGTACACAAATTTTTAAAGGTTTTAGAAATCCAACACAAAATTTTATCTCAAAAGAAAATTGTTCAGCTTACTGGGGAAAGAAATAATTCTTGACATTAATCAGAAATCTCTTATCCTGCTCTCAGGACTCTTTCTTAAAAGGATATTGCAGGAATGATTTATTTTTTATTTATAATTATTAGAGTTATTTGGTTAATTTTAAATTTATATTAAATTTACATGGGTTGTATTTGATGTCAATTGAATGAAACACGAAGAAGTAAAAAAAAAAAAGAAATGTATTTTAACTTACTACTAAGTAAGATTTATAATATTAACAAATTATTATGATTACAATTTTGTAAAATAATAAAAATATGATGAATAGTTTTAGATAAATGACAGTTTATTAATCAATAATAATGATTTTTTTTTTTTGTCCACCCGAGGAAGGGAATATTCAATGTACGCGTTTTATACCGACCAGGGAATTAATGACAGAGTTAAATCAAAAGCCCTTCCGGCACTGGGATGCGAACTTGTAATTATTTTATTATATTAGTATCTGTTTATTTGGCTGCTAGGCAATGATGGTGCTGAGCACACATGTTACCCCACTCAGCCACACTCCCTCCCTCATACCATGATTATTAATTTAATAAACCAGAGTAATCGATACAGTGAAATCATAACATGAAGGATACTATTCAATATACAAATCAAGAGGGAATCATAAACCATTCTCCAATACATGATGTAGACTCATTACCCCTACGCTGTCAGAGTAAGTTGTATCCAGCAGGTTAACAGGCTTCATTCACCTTTCACTCAAATATTTGCTGTACTCAAATAATGATAGCTAATGCACACCTTTCATACCGGCTCATATACTTATTTTTTTAAGCAATGAGCGTGTTCAATTCTGGTACAAGAATACATCTTCTTTTGTGAATATAAACTTTTCTTTCATGTTGGAATTTCTTTATTATCCAAATCAAAAATATATAAAAATCAACAACTGTAAAGATAATTTATCTTCTGGCATGATTTGATAAACATATTGTATTTGATATCAAACAAAGAACCTTTCTTTTTTTTTTTTTAATCAATATATGAAAAAATATCATATTCATTATAATTAGCTGAAATACTAATTTATATTTTTAAGTTTTTTGTAAAAATCAAATTAAATTACTTTGAGGTCTTGCAACTATAATTTTTAATTTTAATTTGGAGGCATGATTTAATTTGTTTTTTTTATGTCAACAAAAACACTATTTTAACTTTTTTTTCCTGATATATACATATGTTACTGCTTTGATGCCTTTTTCATGAAACGTTCTAGAAGACAGTCTCTAATTCCAACAAATCCTTGAAGTCGATTTGATGTTTTACCAGTGAAGGTTCATTATAAGCAGGATAAAAGACCATCTTTATCAATAATATTTAAAAAGTTTCTTTAGAGCTCTAAATTTTCTATTTTTGAATATAAATAAATTTAAAAAATATATAATCCATATTATACGTACATTTATATATATATATATATAAACATAAAGCACTGTTGTAATCTGGGATTTAATCTAAAATAACAGATGTGTCAAAATATTTGAAGGACTTCAGGTGATTTTACTAAAGTAATAAAACCTTAGTCCTTAGTCTAGTTGAAATAAATATTCAAATGAAATGAAACTATATTTAATAGTAATGCTACAATAAATCTATAACAAACATCCGCTGCTTTTATACCCTCTTCACCTTTAAATCCCGCCTGTTCAATCACCTCTTATCCATTCAGTTCTCATAACATTGTAACATTTTAAATATGGATAGAAATAATTGGTTTGTTTTAAATACTTTTATTTCATTTTTTCTTTTAATTGAATTTTGAAGGTAAATAATATTTTCTTTTATTAATTCATTATATAAATCTGTTTATTTTGTAATTATTCTGTGAGACTCCAAAGTGCACATTTCTATCTCCGTACATTATTCTAAAGAGACTTTTTCCAGAATAAATAAAGCATTGTTAATTTTATTATTATTATATTGTCAAAGAAATAACTTTAGTGTGAATTGTCACTAATGACATGATGGAAAAATCATTTATTGTGGCATATCCTTTTTTAATATTCATATCATTTTTTTGACTGCGATAAAATGTATAATATTTAATAAATGAGAAATAAAATGAAGTAATTAACACAAATAGGATCACACTCAATATTTTTCCTAATTCTTCAAATTAATTAACCACTTAATGGATCATGAAGTATGAAGTAAGAATGTCAATCCAGTTTATACAATTTTTTATTAGATGACTTTGTTAAGTGAAGCGAAAGATTCAGAATTTTTATGACATTCATTAATTTTTTTTTGGTCCTATTCCCATTTCAAAGTGCTAACGATTTACCTGACTAATATGTGAATTTTTTTAGTCGAAACTGAGAATTTATCAGATCTTTCAATCACTTTTACATATCAATTTTCAATATTTGTTTTAGTCATGTTTGACAAACTAATCATGTAAAAGAGTTGTGCAAATATTTGAAAATGTATCAATATAGGATGAAAGGAAACCATTTGTAGATTAGTTCCTATAAATAAAAAGAAAGAGATCAATACTTAACAAATTAAAAAAAAAAATAATAAAATAAAAAAGCTCAATATTGAAATTTCAAATTAAACACACGAAATAGTAATTTAGAATCAATTTTGACATTATATAGAGGAATATTCTTCAGTGCGAGATTTTTTTTTTTCTTTTAGAAGAGAAAGCAACTGAGCTCTACCTGTTTGGATTTAATTCACGTTAACAAAATTAATTTGAAATTAATAAAGAAAAATAATTAATTAATTTTTTTATATCATATCACATTGAGTATAACAACCTAAAATTTAAAACACGCCTGTTTTTCAATAGAGTAGTTTGCTGAATTTGATGAAAAAAACCATGATAAAATATTAGATTTTGAAAAAAATTGGAAATATTTAGTGAATTGTCTTAGCTTATATTTTTTTAAAGTTACTTGGAAAATAAAAATTAACAATAAAAATAGGCAAATATAATGTACACAATGTAATTTGATTACTGTTTGTAGATATGTTTGTTTCTTATATTATGCTATTCTATTTTGTATTTATTTTTTTTTTTACTCATATACTTGTTTTTAAAGTTATCTTTACTATTACATTTAAGGTAGTGTTTTTGTTAACTTCCTTTTAGGTATTGTTTCTCCCTATAATGCAAATTAATATGTTCTTTTGTATCAATTTGTTTATATAAGTTTTCTATTAATAATCTAATACACGGAATATGCTTTTGCATGTTATATTCAGATACATAAGTTATATGCACATTTTCTGTAAAATATACACCTTTTCATCAGGGTTACTACAGGAGTAAAACTATATACATTATTCTTCTTGATTTAAATATTTTGTTGTTGTACTTTTACCTTCTAATTTGGAAAGCAATGTTCTTCATCTAGCACATTATGATAAAGTTAGAAATGGCTTTGTTCAGAATGGATGGAGCCTATTGCTTAAACTTGCTCTATCTCTTGAATGGTTTAGGAATTAATAAAATTCCTTATAAAGCCAACAGATGACATGATATACAATGCTTTAACCAAATTTTATAAAAATGATGAATAGTCCATTCTTGTTCTCACTTTATAAAAGGGTATGGTTATGCCGGATTTTTAATGGATTATGGAATATGAGCCTTTCTGCTGTCAAGATAATTTGAACTAATTAAGTAATCAATCATCATTATAGTTAAAAAAAAATACATCATTTAATTTCTGAAGAAGGATGGTTGCGGTGATCAGTCAAAATAAAATAGTAAAAATAAATAATTGTATTTATTTTCACATTCGCCAATGTTTCGAACCGAAGTTTAAGCCTTCATCAGGGTTAAAAATATCGTAAAATCTATCAAAAATGCTGACTACGTATAAGAGAATAAATAGTTAAAATAATCTAAAATAGATTTTACAATATCTTAATTTTCTATTTATATCTATTATTTTCTTATATAACATCATACTTCTTTTCTCTGTTTTACACTTTATTCTAAGATTACCATTTTTCATTTTTTATATTACCTTATTTTGATTATGTTTATTTCATTGAATCGGTGCTTTTTTACCGTTATTATTTATTACTTAGTTCTCTGTTACTGTTATTATTCTACCTACTTTATTTTACTTTAATATTCACTCTATTTACTTCACTTTACTTTGAGTTTTTCTACCTATATTTTTTAGTGTATACCTTTCACCTTTTTTAATTTAAATTCTCTATAATTCAATGTTTATAGTTTCTTATACCTGGTTATTTTCTTAGCCCTGATGAAGGACTGAACTTTGGGGCGTCGGCGAATGTGAAAATAAATACATTTGGTTTTACTATATTATTTTGATTGATCACCCCAACCATCTTTCTCTTCAATTATTCACTATAGTCAGCCCACAATTATAATTTAATTTCATGTAGTTGTTTTCTTCTCTTACCCCAAATATTTCTTAATATTGTACATATATTTTTTTATATATCAACTATCCCTGGGTTATAAACTGTATGAATAATAATTGTTACACAATTTTTTTAAGATGGCCTTTATAGAGAATTCTATAATTTAATAAAGAATGATGCCAACATGCCTAAAAATGGAAACCATCACCAACGGCAACCTATACACCAAGAATATACATAAAATAAACAATTATTTTACAAATTATAAAACATATATAACCTAATTGAAATTCATTCATTTTGCAGGCAGATTTTAAGATTCTTTTACTTTCTCTCAATTATCTGATTTCTTAAATCTAAAAACTCGAATCATAAAATAATTTACAAATTATTTTAACACATGTAATATAGATTTAAATATATTAAATTCCCTAAAAGTTTCTTACTATAATGGGACATGTCCTTAAATATTGTTCTCAGTAATCCCCAACTACTTTCTACACAAATCATAGTTATATATCCATGCAAACACAATAAAAAACATGCTTCAAGCTAGTGTACACAATGCATACTTGATATTAAATTATAAATTTTGAAATGAGTCTGATAGACATTAAGAATTGGGCTGCTTTACACAAGTATTACATAAAACACATGATTAATAATACATCACATTAATAAATATAATATATAAAAGGTGTGTTTGAGAGTGTGTAAAAATACTGTCATTGTGAGTGAGTATAAATCTACATGTCATGTGTGATAAATATTCAGGACACAGTTATCAAGTTTTTATTAGTGTCGAAGTTTCAACCCAAACGTGTGAGTCATCATCAGGGCGTTTTTCTAGTACTTGAATACCTTCAGCGCTCGAACCACGCCCTAATAATGACCCACATGTTTGGGTTGAAACGTCGGCTCCAATAAAAACTTTATAATGACTGCGTCATTATATGTAGAACGGTCGATAATAATTCAATAAATCTACATGGAATTATAGTATACACTTTTTAATACTTTGTAATTTGTTTCATCCAATTTTTATAATAAAGCTAATCATCCCAGATGCCTAGAAATTACACAAAGTGATTCTTTGATATACTTGTTTAATATTGCCTTGGAATGTGCTATCAGAGAATTAGCAATCAGGAGGTATGATTATCAGCAAATCTTTTCAAATCTTAGCTTATGCTGATGATCTGTACTCCATCAAATGCAATATTTTCAGCATGAAGAAACCCTTCTTGAATTTTTAAATAACAGCTGATAAAGTGGGATTGTTGGTAAATGACAGAAAAATTCATCCTCGACTATGTAGAGGAATTTATTTACCTAGGAGCATAGTTGAACTCAACCAATAATATGTAACCTGAGATTCAACATTATGGCAGCTAAAAGTTGCTATTGTGGACTTAACTTGCGTCTAAGAACCAAGTTTTTTTCCAGGATATCCGAGCTGTTAGAGTTCTGGATGCAGAAAAAAAAATTTGAAATCAGCTCTACTGAGATTTGAGAGAAGGATTTTGAGTAAAGTCAGAATACCAGCCTGTCCGTGTTGGATCCTATGGCTGTAGATACACAGAAAATACAAAATGGATTAGAAATCATAGAGAAGCAGCAGAAATCAAAAATACTGGCGGCTCTGATTGAGGGAGGATTTAGCTGTTCATGAGTTGTAGTATAATCAAAATATAAAAATAATTTTGGATTGTAAAAGCATCAATTTTATACTAGCATACAATAGAGCTGATAAACATATCAACATGAATTAGTAGATAAAAGTATCTTTAAACTAGCTTCCAGATTATATGAAAATATTATGAAAAAATCCAATGACAGTGAAATTTTTTTCCATACTTTTTAAGTAGGGAGTGGGATACCTCAGTGAGTAAGGCACTGGACTCCTATCCTCCAGATCCCAGGTTCAAATACGGCTGAATCAGGTAATTATTTATTCTGTTTCATCTGCCGTGGATTGACCTTGTGATCACGAGATTCACACCCAGCCTCTATTATGTGGATTTTATTAATTAAATAATTAATTATGGAAAAAACTTTGCAAGTTGAGCCTTCTATCGGTCAAATCACCACCCTTCACAACCATTGGCCTTGAAATTCTACTTCCTCATTAAGTACTAAACCCAAAACCTTCGATGGGTTGTAGTGGTACAATCTTTAAAATATGTTTTTAAAATTAATCTTCCCATTAATTTGGAATAAGTGAAAGTGTAACGTACATAGTAAATGTGATTAAAGTGCATGCGTTTATATGTAAGATTTGATTATATGTAATGATATTCACATAATAATTACACACATATACAATGAAAAAGAATAACTAAGAATATTAAAGAAATAGATATAAAACAGATGAATGCCACAAACTATAATAAATATGTAAATAAAGTAACAAGCTAAAATTACAGATGACAGATTTATTTCTATTAATAAATAAAGCATTCAGATTCATAAAATTATTTTATTTTATTTTTATGATTGATTATATATCTTTAAAGAATGTGGCATCCATTCTGTTTTTGAAGAAGAGAAAAGACGGATGTGTGAGTGATTACCTCCATAGTTTTAGAATGATGCATTGCTTTAATGGCGTTGATTGCGCACTGCTTCGAGGTAAAAGTGACAAAGGCACAACCTGGGGCCCGGAAACACACATACATAAGCCATTATACAAATGATGCGCGACAGATAAGAAACTTCTAAAGACCACACGAAAAAAATAAATAAAATAAAAAATCTACATCATTAGATTCTCTAGACATTTCTAAAGGATCATTATTGTGTTAAAAAAAAAAAAAAACCTGAAAATCCTTTCCAAGATCAAACTGCAAAAAAGTAGGAGCAGTATGATTTTGTTTAGGTCCCTTTAATAAAAGTTTTTATTACTACACAAATAATATTAATAAAGCTATATTGGGATACTTAATATAGTAAATACAATAACACCAACAGGGAACATAGAGTTTTACAGAAGTCACATTTGATCAAAAAAACAAATTGGATGGCAGCCCAAAATAAAAAGCTACATATATATGTTAGCTGTGCTCAAATATACGTATAATTATAAGAGAAAAAAAACAACAAAAAAATAAATAAAACTAAATAAATAAAGTGTGAAATTAACTATATAGTGAACACGAAGCCAACATACACTATGCGCAAACAGTACAGGAATTCTGTCTCAAAAAGAAACAATTATTTACATTGCCAATGAGAAAATATTACAGATATGTTACTTGAATAAACGAACAACAATGGGTTGTTGATAATTAGGGGTATTATTAAACAATAATTAGTAGTTAATATTGTTTCTTGATCGGCCAGACTAACCTGTGTTATAATTTCGTGGCCATTTCCTGGTCCCATCCCTTAATTGACAGATGTCTTGGATCAGACAACTGAACTGCCATCATGATAAAACTTAACTTCTCAATCGTGTTTATTTATAAAAAAAAAAAAAAAAAAAACTGTACATTTTACATTCACTTCTACATCCTTAAGAAAAAGTGTAAAATTTATAGATCTAATCATTTGAAAGTTAATAAAATTATCAATAAATTGAAAACAAAAAAATCAACATGAGCAAAGATACAACCTTATTTCATATGTTTTATATTATTATTTTCAATAATTAAATTTTGTAAGCAACCAAGAAAAAAAATTCAACAATACTTGACAATATTATATTGGCTTAAATTACACAATTGAACTAACTGCTTAAAATATATATATAAAGAATTTTTTAATCTACAATGGATTTACTTTAAATTTAAGCACTTAATTTACAAAGTTGTATAAATGGCTGTTAATATTTTGTAAAATATTAAAAGCATTAAGATATTTTAATATGGCTTCTCCAGTTAGTATCATAATCTGTATGTATAATTTCAATTTACTTTATTTTGAGTAAATAGGTTTTCAAATGCTTATAGTATTCAGAAACGTGATTATGTTTTAATTTATTAAACTCACTTTGTTTAGTGATACAAACCAAAGATGGTTTTAATAAAAAATATTAATGGAACCAATTCTAAATTCAATCATACATAAACAAATGTGCACATATCAAACATTAATGTTCATAAACATTCAAATAATTTTTACTTTTTTTATTCTGGTCTTTGTTAAGAAGTATATTTGATTAAACATTACCTTCCTATAGTATTATACTTTTTCTTCATTAATTTATTTTATAAATGTTTAAATATTAAGTATTATTACTATGTTATCATAAAATACTATGAGGGCATGATGTAGCAGTTTTAGCTGTTAAAAGGCAATCATTCTAAAAGAAGTACTGCAGTTTACCACCAGAGGTCAGTAGCAGTGTTGACTCTTTGAATGTTTTTCAAATAATTATTGAGATAAAATAAAAAATAAAAACATAATTCTTTTTCTCTCTCAATTTTTATTATATTCATTTGAGCATTTAAAAGTATAAACAACGAAATTTTATATTTTTAAAAATGATATACGTAATGATGTACCTGAAGTGATCAGAATAAAAATTAAAACTGCTAATAAAATTACTGTACATGTCCTATTCAGAGCAATCTAATGAGAAAAAGGTCAAACTAAAAATAATAAATGTCGGGCATTTTCATAGAATATTAAAAGTACAGGCTAGGAAAGTTGAGTTATAACAAAAATAGAAAATAAATAGTGTATGTTCTTGAGAAGATTATTCAATGAAAAATCTTTGGGGCTGAATATGGAATAGAGATAATTACCAATTCTCTTACACCACTAGCGGATCCAGGATTTAATTTTTTTTTTTTTTGGAGGGAGAGGGGATTCAGCCCGAAAGCTTTTTTCTTCATATATATATATATATATATATATATATATATATATATATATAAAACAATAATTATTTTGGGAAAAAAAAGAAAGATACTGACTACCAATAAGAAATGGTGTTTAAGTTATTCTTGTAAAATTAGTCTTAATATCAAAGAAAGTACATACAATAGAAAAGAAACATTAAATGAAATAACTGAAGATAAGAAAACTGGTGCATAAGACACAACTAGTAACAAAGGAAAAATTTTTCATAAGATATTAAACCAACTGTTTAAATTAAATATAAACAAAAAACAATAAAATATTTATGTTTGTTAATTTATTGTATTGATTTAGATATTTTACTGGTGCTCTTATATATTTATTTTTACTTTTCTTACCTATATATGATATACATAGTAAAGGAAAGTATCGTGATCGTGAAATTTTTCGGATCCTAATTTTCAACAGAAATACACGTTTTGAGGTCCCCTGTCCAAATAACCAAGTCCTGTAAAATGGTCTGCGTGTTTTAACAGTCTAGCTCAAAACGAAAAGTCGAACGAAAGTGAAATTGCATTTTTAAGGTTTTCATATACTAGGGATGTTACAGCAACTTTTTCATCAAAATCATCTAACTGGAAGTGGCACTTTATATAATGGACTAAACACGTTTTTACGATTTTGATTCATTATATCAGTGTAAAATTAAGCAGTTTTAAATACAATTTATTTTTTTAATCTGATTGATGTTTTCTAACAGGGCTTAAATAGCTAATTTTCAATATTATCTTCCTCTAAAGTACCTCTAATTTTTTTTATTTGAAACAATTAACCATTTCACATTAATTTCTAATATAAAAGATAGTTAAATATAAAATATAAAAGAATTTGATAATTAACTAAAGGAGAAATAAGATGGATTGTAATGGAGAATAGTTGTAATTGGGGAGCCAAAGGAATACGAGCGCACCTGAACTCGTCCGAAAGATTAGAACACGCTTAGACATGTAACATGAGCTTAATATAATAAGAACTTTGACAATATTATATAAATATACATATGTGGTTTTTATAAATGCGATTGTTGGTATTATTTAATATTTAATTGTCTAGATTACAGCGATATAAATATTAAAATATGTATATATAAGAGTACTTATACAAATAAATATACCCACAATGAAATGTAAATAAATATAGTGCCTATAATTTTTACTTTCACTTTCCTTTTGTCTGAAAATACTTATTTCTGCTAAGAAGAGAGTGGTAAGTGAAAGTTTTGTGATGTGCACAACACATCAGATTCTTTGGTTTATTTTCTTATAGCACAAACAATATATTGTTGATAAATTTCATAAAAAATTATATAATGACAACAAAACAAAATAGAAGTTGCAAGAACAGTATAAATTTTAATAAATTATGATGGCAGTTCAGTTGAATATTTTAATAATATATAATATTACTTAAATATGTATTTCAATATATAAAATTCCATCCAGACCGAACAATACCTTTACTCTGCCCAGAAGTATCCCTGAGCACTGTACACTCTTCAATGGCACCGAACGTTTCAAACATTTGTCTTACATCATTTTCATTATATTTCTTTGACAACATTCCAACAAACAGTTTCCTCTCTGAAACAGAAAAAAATATAAAGATATATTAAAAAGAATCTGTAAACTTTTAAGCTGAAATTAAATCATTTGATAATTAAAATCGTGGTTGTTGCATTACATAAATTTTCTATAATATATGGGTCATTTAAAAATTTCAGTAATATTGGCGCATCATTTTTTTATTTAAAGAGAAAACATTTTTCTTAAATTCATTTCATTGTTACTCAGTACATATTATTGGAATCGCTTCAGGTGGAAGTATTGAATACTGTATTGTGGTTTCTTTAAAAGAAAAATATTAAAACTAAGTGATCATTCAGAAATTTATGAATTTCTTTATATGCGGATTTTACAGTAGAGATCACAAGGGTGTTCAATTTCCGGGAATGTATTACCTGAAAAGTCAAAAGTTAATTAGGATATCAAAGCAGATTTTAATGCTAGTAAGCTTAGCTTTATAATTTCAAAAGCAGGAATGGAATACTTTTTTTTTTTTATATCTATGGAAAATTTCTTTGCTCCCATTTTATTTTTCATTATAAGCAAGTCATAGAAATGTAATAAAGGCATTTAATACTATCTTGGAGTGGGCGACTGGATAAAATGTCGACAACCAAAGCCCGGTATTTTTAAGGAATTTGTGAGATCAGGCGTTTTCTTTAGCAACAAAAAAAAAAGATCAAATGTATATTATATGATCATTTTCAGAAATACTGTTTTAGTTTTTGTTTGCCATGAGCTTATATTTAATTGATAATATATTTTGTTACCTTGTGCATTTTTCCATTGTTTTAAATTTAAGCTTTGATAATCCGATCAGACCTTGAAATCTTAACATTTTAGATAATCAAGACTGTCCTGTACTATCAAACTTAATCATTTTACTGAATATTTAATGGTTGACCGTTGCATTATAAAGGAACGAGATGGTCCGAGGTTGCGGTCATAAAAAGGCTAAATAGTGGTAAAACTATTTTAGGATCTTGTTACCTAGCTTACTTAGTCCATATTGTATTGTACTTACTGTTTATAATTCTAATAAGCTTATTCACATTGTTTATAAATTATGTCTAAATATTATGTAATTTCCACAATTCTCTATCTTTTGTATCTTGTCCGTTCTAGCCCTGATGAAGACCTGCAAAGTCGGGTCGAAACGTTGGCTTTCAATAAAATAGTTTTACCACTATTTAGCCTTTTTATGACCGCAACCCCGGACCATCTCCTTCCTTTTTAATCATTTTACAAATTTTGCTTAAAATTGACTAACATTATAAGAAAACTAATGCATCAGTAAGTGACGTATTGTAAAAAAAAAATATTCAAAGACTTTTAATGATTCTCTACAGTGAAAGTGAAGAGTGATGAAGATAAAAAAAAAAATAAGAGAGATCTTGAAGTATTGTAGCTCCTGAACTCAAAGCAGAGTAAATTAACAAATTTCGCTCTGCTTTGCATAACTTTTTTAAATTTTCTAGGTAATGAGGATTAACACCTGTAAAATTACTTAAAATGGGTCTACCAGGTGACGCGTTATAATCAATATGTTTTTCTTAAAATAAAAATCTAGATTAACCCTCATATCCTATAGCCATAGTTTTCATATCCCTCATTTCACAATAGCCATAGTTTTAAAGCAATCACATTAAATAGTTTTAATGAGTTTTATTAAAACAAATGAAAATTTTGTAGTTCAACAAAGTCCAAAATAAAATGAGAGGGGAGAAGAAGAAACCATAACTGTTGGAATAAATCAAACCAGGAAATCAAGAAATTTGTACCCAGTCAGATGAAGAATTTTTTTTCGTAATATTCTATTGAAAGGCTTAGCACAAAGGGTATTAATTTTCCGAACAAAGAGGTAACACAATACATTCATAAATCCGAAATCCTTCAATTCTTATTGAAAATATATACTACAATTTATATTACCATTTTAAATTGGACTTTATAAAAGACGATTCATGGTTTATTCTAGATAAAGCCACCAGAATAGAGGCCTCTGAAATAAAAAATAAAAATATGAGGCCTATTGAAAAGTGGAGGATTTTTTGCTTTTCGCACGATTTATCCAACATTTCAAGCCTATATATTTATATAAAATATGTAATTTTTAACAAACTACTTATACGTGAATTTGGGCTTGTGTCATGTGAATGTATGCTTGAGGAAGTTAGACGACGAAAGAAGTATTAGAAAATTTATTATTAGATTATAGTAATAAATTTTGTGTAATTTACCTTATATATTTTATTTATTTTTTCGTAAAAAAAAATATATTTAAAAAATCTACAAGGATGCCATTACAGATTTATTATATTTTAAACTAACTGATATTATCAAAATAAGTTTAGAAAATTAGAATCTTGGAAATTAAAAGACATAAGCATTTCTCGCCTTTCTCTTACTAAATAGTTTTAAAAAATACTACCTATATGTCGTCGATATTTTTTTTTTTTTTAATTCTACTATCAGGGAAATAAATGCAATTTATTTTTCTATATAAATATATTTTCCCGTCAATAATTGTTTGAATTGTTTATTTAATAATTTTTATTAGTGCCTTAACAGAAATTTTTAAAGATGTATCCAATATAAATGTTAATTATTACGAAGTTTATGCAGTATTTCAAAGTAAATAACTAAAGAATACAGCGATAATAAATCCTCTTTAAGCCTGTGTCGGGAAGTTACTGAACTATCGATAGAGGAAAGCTATCGATTATCGCTCTAATACTATTGATTTGCTCACTCTTTATAATTAGCTATTATTTATAATTTATATTTCATATTATTAACCTCGCCTTGTTGGTGTTCTCACTTCTTAAGTATGGTCCAAAGTACACATAATTTTTATTTTTTTGAACTACAATCACTAGAAAAAGTTTCATTGAAATCGGTGATCCCACGTCCATAACCTTCCCTTGCTAGTGAATGGATACTTAACGGATGGAAACCACGCCTTTTCCAAATATTTGGCCAGAAATCCTCAATATGTTTGTCAGGAAAACTACAATGTTGTTTTTAGGTGACGGGGCCTTGAGTTATTTGTACAGTTGCTTGAATGCACAACTGTTCATTAGCCCAAGGCGAATATTAATTATGCATTCTAAAATCGACAGGCGTCTTTTGTCGCCTGATTGTACACAGGCAACCATTCAGACGCAAATCCAATGGCGGATCCTCTAATGAGTGAGAATAGTTTTAGTCCTTACAAAAAAAAAATACCAATCAAGTCCGAACACCACAATCAGATATAACTAGATCACGGCCGAAGGATGCCAACACATAAATAGAAATATTCAGTGACAGGAACTACGTGTTAGGGCATCTTAAGCAGGATATTAGGGGAGTGACAAGATTCGTAGATCACGTTCAGTTGATATTCCATTGGGGACATCGTAGGGAGAGAGACGCTAAGTAATTAAATAATCGATGTGAGCAAAAAATATACTAAATGCGAAAGTATGGATACCGATATATGTAGATACTAGCTGGCCCATGCGAATAATTCGCATAAATTATTAGTCAGAAAACAACTGATAGAATAGTATGGAAATATATTAATGCAATGCATCAAGAGTTGGAAAAAGTAGGTAGAAAGAATTATGAAGAAGTATGTTTCGAAAACGGCACGTGTAAAAATGATAGGGGCTCCACTAAACCATCGAACCATCGTATCCAATCTTTACAATCCAAAATCCTTCGTAAAATCCTTACTTTGTAACAAATAAAATAATCCATAATGATCTGAATGTTCTATATGTTTTCGATTTGGCCCAATCCAGATATCTATCCTTCCATAATAAACTTCAGAACCATCCTAATCCTTTCGTTTCTATCCTTGCTTCCTCCTCGATCCCTGATAACCATGCTAGGCATCTGAAAAGATTGCCTTGTGATCTCCTAATTTAGAAACTTTATTAGAGTGCTACCAATGTGTAGATTCTCTACAAGCCTTGCCATGTCATGTATTTCTTTGTATCGCATTTGCTGAATGTATATTAATTTTTTTAGATAATAATAATAATAATAATTTTTTTAGATAGCTAACTAACTAACTAAGCCCGAATGAAAAATTAGAAGAGTTAAATCTAGAAGTATATTGGTTATAGCATTTATTTACATATAGTAATTAAGATTTCGCATTCACTTAACTTACGAAACAAGCGACTTATCTACAACACCTTACTGAGACCAATATGGACATATGGAGCAGAACTTTGGGGTTCAGCAAAACAAACACACATAAACAAAATACAAACAGCACAATCAAAAATTATACGAAAAATTGTTAACGCACCTTGGTACATTTCAAACACTACTATACATAACGACTTAAACATCCCAACAGTAAAATCCTACATCCACAACAAATACACTACATTTCATTCTTCAACCCAAAATCACTCCAATCCTCTGGTTCTTTCTATCTCCTGCTCCCTGTTACCTGAGCAACGAAGATTAAGAAGAAAATGGCCAAGAGACCTACTACATCAATAAAAAAAAAAAAAAAAAATCAAGCAATTACACCAAGACAATAAAAATACAACAAATTTGCTAGATGCGCAGCTGCGCAGGTGCAAATTGCATAAAATAAAATAAAATAAAATAAATAAAAAAGATTTCGAGTATTAGTAATTATTTTTCTTTAATTTTTATTTAAAAAATCGATTTTTTTACCAGTCCTGGTCTTGGTCTTGCAACAGATAGGCGGCCTTGGTCTTGGTCTTGCAAAGTGCACTTTGGGCAACACTATAAGCGAGAGAAATGTTCAACATTTCGTTCTCTTTATAAAGAGCTATTATTTATAATTTATATTTCATATTATTAATTTCGCCTTGTGTAATGTTTTCACTTCTATCGTGTGGTATAAAGCACAAACTTTATTTTAATTTTTTCATGCCATTATAAACATAAATCAAATTAATATTTTAAAAACATAAAATGTGCGGATTAACATACACCATATTTTTTAAACCATTGAAATACTCAACCTTTAACAGCTCATGTTGTCGGCT